AATACCATACACATTGGAAACATATGGTGTATTAGTAACAAATGAAGCATCGAAACTTCATTGTTACCCGATGTGATTAACTAATCGAAACTTTAGAAGTATTTTCTTCTTAACATGTCCTGTCGTTCTGCATTGGGGTCTTGGGAAAATCAAAGTGCTGAAGCACTGATGGGGGCGCAATATGTTGCAAATCTACTTCAGGTGTTCCAAGCTGATATCTTTCCCACTTTCAAAGTAGAAAAGTGTCCATTTTGTATACAGTATAAAATTATATTTATAATTATATATACATATGACATTGGAATTTGTTGGGAAACTATAGTTGTTTCAAAGTATGTAATATTTTCTTTTAACCAATTTTCATGTAAATGACTTCCTTATGTGAGTGTATAACACATAAATCAGTGTACTTTCTATATTTATTGCAAGAAATTATTATGCAAATAGAAAATAAACAGAAAATTTCACTGCTTATAAATAATTTCTAAAATAAAACTAGGACTGTGAGAACAAACTGATTTTTGTAGAAACCATTCAAGCACAATACACTAAACATGTGAAAATGTAAAATGGAATGGAAACATACAATGTAGATGGCATTGAAAACAAGATCCACTATCTAGCTCTGGCCATGCTCGGCTTTTTCTTATATTAAAATTCAAACACATCAGGATAATATTGTAATATCTATTAGAGTACTCCTAGAAAACATAATAAAAAAGTATAAAATAAATTTGAATTTGACTGTGAACAGATTTTAGTAAAGGTCATAGTTGAATGATATGTGTTCTTTTGTCCAAGAATGAATCAAATCATAGATAAAAACAAAGTTATGACATTTTGAGCGAATTTCAATTGTTTTACTTTGGAGGTAACAGTCATTAAAAGGTACAAGTTATATTAGAAAAATTTAACATGTTGTTTTGTGTTTGTTTGCCTAAGCATGAATCTAATCTCTAGAAAATAACAAAGTAATGACAATTCAAGCTTACTCCTAAGATTTTTTATCATTTATAGGTCAAAAAACAGGTGTTCTGATCACTCCTTTGAATTTTGGCGATTTGACATGTGATAGATTTTTCTTTTCTTTTAACGTTGGGGCAATTTTGTGCAGTAAAACAAAATATGCCGGCAATGTGCACAAATAGGGATGGCACTGTTCACTTCTGTGAAGTTTCATTGAAATCTTAGCAGCAGTTGTGAAAGCCGAACAAGATATTGTTTTTTTAAAGCTCTGAAGGCCATTTTGAGAAGCGAAGTTAAACGTGCTGCCGATATGCACAACAAAGGATAGTACTGTTCACACCTATTAAGTTTGGTTGAAATCCTACCAGTAGTTTGACCTGTGACAAATTTTTTTATTATTTTAAGCTGTGGTGGCTATTTTGTTCAGTGAAACGGAACTTGCAGGCAATGTGCACAACAAGGGATAGTTCTGATCACTTCTGTAAAGTTTAGTTGAAATCCCACCAGTTGTTCGACATGTAAAGCAAACTAAAGTTTTCTACTTCTAGATTTTGCAGCAATCTTTTGCAGCAGAGCGTCACATGCAGGCGATGTACACAACGTTCTTAGCTAGGGATGGTACTGATCAAAACTGTAACATTTGATTGAAATCCCAGCAGTAGTTTGACCTGTAAAGCAAACGAAAGTTTTCTACTTCTATATCTTGCAGCAATTTTTGCAGCAGAGCGTCACATGCCGGCGATGTACACAACGTTCTTAACAAAACTAGGGATGGTAGTGATCAAAACTGTAAAATTTGGTTGAAATCCCACCAGTAGTTTGACCTGTAAAGCAAACGAAAGTTTTATACTTCTAGATCTTGGAGCAATTTTTTGCAGCAGAGCTTCACATGCTGGCGATGTACACAACGTACATAACTAGGGACGGTACTGATCAATACTGTAAAAATTGGTTGAAATATCACCAGTAGTTTGACCTGTGAGAGTCGACATGATTTTTATATTTTTAGCTTGGTGGTCATTCTGTGCAGCGAAGTGGAATTTGCCGAAGATATGTATACTTATGGATGGTACTCATCAATCCTGTAAAGTTTAGTTAAAATCCCACCACAAGATATTATTATTTTTAGCACTGGTGGCCATTTTGAGCAGCAAATCGGAACTAGAGTAAAATTTGATTGTCAATTTAGCCGCATTTTTCAGCTTTAAAGCGGCTGATTTAAAAATTCCTGAGATAATTTTTTGATTTTTTTCTTTAAACGTCCATTACAATGTATACTTAGTCAAATTACTAAAATAATAAGGGGGTCACCGACTCAAATTTTTCAGTACACGTGATTTTATTTCCCCCATCCCTTTAGATTTATGTCACGCTATCACGGGTGGTCATAAAAAGCGATCACCCAGTGTCAACATCCCGCTATTAACGGTATTATACGCCATTATGACCACTGCGCAAAATATACGGATACATTAAAGGATACGGAATTTCGTTTATAGATAGACAGGTAAAAATAAGTGAAATTTGAATACTTAGATGTACCGGACCGTATATCATGCTATATGTATATGACTAATATACTGTGATCTGTACACTCGTAATATACGGGAACTTTGTATGTAGTCCGTATTGGCTTAAATATATATTTTTTTAATTATAAAGGTCAAATATTTCCAAAATATGATTTTTTTATTCTCGTTTAATACAAATTTTGTTTTAAAACAAAGAAAAAAGAACTACCCACATTCTATAAGAGGAAAAAAATAATAGTCTTATCTGATATTTGTCAGAATAAGATTATAAAAAACTAAAACAGTAAAATTTTGAGTAAAATGTAATAATTCTCGGTTTTATTAACATGTCAATTGCATACTGATTAAATGTTTAGTGAAAACAACATATGAAACATCGACAGATCCTCTACAGTGCCCGTAACATGTACTGACATAAAATGACAATATAAATTGAAATGTCTTTATTTTGTACAAAGATTTACAACGCAACACTCGTTTGTGCAGTATCTAGCTCATGAGCGCCTGCACCGCAATTATATGTTCAGCTAAACATCCACAGACATGTATTTATTTCTAAATTTACATTAAAATATATATTTGCTTTTGTTCCGTGTGGCATATTTCTCGATTCAAGTTCATTTATTTATTGTATTACAATATCAAAAAGTTACACCACAATGATAACTCTCAGCTGTTGTGTGTACAGCGTACACGTTGCCTTTGAACGCCCGACGTAATTTGCTTTACATGCGTCTGTTTACAATTCCTTACGAAGTTATTGCTTAAAAACAATGTTTTTCGTACATTTTTTTCAGCAAACAAAAACGTCACATAATGGAAAGGCGATAATATATTCAATAAAATTGCACTTCGACCAAGCCAATGATAGTTAACTAGACAATTGTTGTTAAATATCTAGAAAGTTTCGTACACTGCTGACAGATCTTTTTTTTCAAGTAACACGTTATATTGAAATGTACCTGTATTTAGACTTTCACAAATCAGAAATATTGACGTGCTCGTACGAAAAAGCGCGTATGTTATGAATAAGCAAAATATTACCGCTTAGATCCAAGGCTAAGATTTTAAATATAAATATGCTTTTTTCATCGGCTGGTCTCATTCAAAATTTTAAGCATTTGCAATGAAACATTGTTGTTTTATATGTATAAGTAAAACTTTAAAACAATTCTCCTGATGAGCTGAACATTATTGCTGCTATTTGAAGTGTCAAAAGTATCTGCATACGTCGAATTTTGTTACAAAATAACTCAAGGATTTGGGGAAATAAAATTACGTGTTCCGAAAAATTTGAGTTGGTAGCTCCCTTATTTTAACTGAGTATACATTTTAAAGGACGTTTCAAGACAAACATCAAAAATTATTTCAGGAATTTTAAAAAAAGCCCCTTTAAAGCCGAAAAATGCGGCTAAATTGAAAGTCAAAATATACTCAAAATTGACAGTATTCTTTCCATTTTTCAAAAAAAAAAAAAAAAAAAAATGGGCGTAAAACGATAAATTTTGTATCAGCTTAGAGGAAAAAATAATTTCCGTCGAATGCTGTAGGATTTAAGATATTTTGTCCGCCTATTGCGTTGAAAAACCCGTAATTGTTGCCAAGGATACGCGACGACGTCATGTTCAAAAACGGCCTTTGATGGTCAACTTTGACGTCGTGTTAAAAAACAATTGGCTAAAACTTTTGAAAACTTTTTTTTAAAACGGAATCTATCATAATTTCTATGCAGTTATAGTCCTATCATTCTTAGATAAATCTTCTATCGGATGGACAAGTCTAACGAAGATTTATCAAAATATTCCATATTTTTTCATCTCAAAGGTACATTTTCAAACAGCGACAAAAACTGAAATTGTGATCAAATAACAATTTCTCTATTTAGAAATAAATGTTTCATGCCTCCAGATATGCCATAAGAAAATCAAACTGTATAAAACAGATATTAAAAAAAAAGTTAAAAGTCCCAGAAATACCTTACATTATGTGGCATGAATGACTGATTTTGCAAAATTTGAATGATCCCCCTATTTCTACAGTGTGACTATCCCCGGGCTATTTTTGCATAGTCTTTTTGGTAAATTATATGTATTGTGTCATTAGTAATATGTACAATAGTCATTACTTTCTTTGTTTACTTCACAATATTTTACTTTGATATACATTTTCAAAATTTTCATGAAAAATAGCAATAACCTGGAGGCATGCTGCTTCAAGATAAAAAAAATACCAAAACAAAAACAAAAAAAAAAACCTATTACTTATAAAATACTTGAGTATCTTTATAGGCTAGAAAATCTACCAACAGGAATGAACTGAGAGTTATAGTATCAAACCCAAGGCCAGTGTGGCTATTTTTTTCTTTAAAGTTAAACCTTACTTTTTTACTTTTATATTAGTTAAAAATAGAAAACATTATCAATTTAATCCTATTCTTATTACAGTATTCATTGGATTCATTATTCAACATTTAATTAAAGAGCATGAAACATAATATTTTCAAGATCTAGTAAAATCTTAACGTTTTTAAAATCCAGTAGAATTAAAACTATACAATAAATTTATTAATAAATACACAATAAAGTACATTATAACAATACATATTTTTTTGGATAATATACTCTAAGCTGAAATATTTTAAATGGGTGTGGTAGTATAAATGTTTGTAAATATTGTAATTTATCTAATTCATATATAAGTCTGTTCTTAATAAAAGAGACTTGCACCTTGATGTTTTTTTTGTACAAACAAATTTCAAACATTGATAAGTTAGCACAGTTGATGAACTGGAGCCTCTATATACAAATGTGGTTCTGTTCAAACATAGGTTATCTCATGTTCTTTGTGATAAACTCTCACATTAAAGTTGATAAAGTTCTGTTCATACATATCTCAAAAATTGATAAGTGATCATATTTTCCTGGTGAAAAATGGTGGCTCATTTAAGTTTTATACATATTATGATATTTCAAATATTGGAAAGTCATCTCATCTTCTTCGTGAAAGACTGGTGACTAGTTTTCTCCTCATTTTTTCTTTTTTCTAATTAGATTAAGTCAGAGTAGTATATTCATGAGGCTTTCACATCTAAAACTCACTATCCAACATTGCTAAGGACAGGCCAATTTCTTTTAAGTTTTGAAAAACTCAAATATTTTAATTTCTCTGGTGTTTCAGACATAAAGACATATCTACATGTGACTTCTATTATCACTCCTGCTTTTATTGTTCTATCATACAAGCGCCTCTGTTTCCTGAAATATTTGTTTATAAAAAGTTAATTGCAAAATTAAAATTTCATAATTTTGTTGTGTTTTTTTTTTCGGAGGGGGGGGGAGGGAGCGGGCAATTTAAAGCACATGTTATATTTTTACAAAACTATTTAAATTTATGCATGTGAGTGATTCTGATAAGCTATAGACAGCTACGTGAAGATAAGATGATCATATATGTCAGATATTTCAGAGTGCTTACTATCCATATTTAATATTTGTTTGTGAATTGTCTTAAAGTGAAAAGGAAAGGAAAGCTGAATTCCTAAATACATGTTACATGTCACAATTGTTCTTGTTGACTACCTTTGTTCCTTATTTCTAGTATAAGATGATACTTAAATACACTGTAATTCTTCTTTGAAAATTTGGCTTTTTTTGACAATAGTTTATCCAGTGACAGAAGCTCACTAACTTAAAATAAACTGTCCTGTGTCGGCGTTTTAAAATGTAACAAGTCAAGAAAAAAAAAACTATTTGAATATAATAATTAAGAAATATCTTAAACAAATACTTCTTAATCATCATGTACACGTTCCTTAAATGTCCTTGCTATTGAAGGAAACATTTTTCTATATATTCACTTTAAGGTTAGTCAGATTGACAGTCTCACATTTTAGCCTTTATTTCTCTTAATTCCATCCTCATTGAACCTGAAGCATCCTTAAAATCGATATCCTGCCATTCACATTCACAAATCTGATATGTAGGCCTACCTTCTGAAACAAAAAGTTGGAAAGATAAAATTTTATTATTATTAGATATACATATAGTATCCCAATAATTATGTTAGTTCCTATCAAATCAATAATTTAAACTATTTAAGAAACAATTTGTTCAAAATTGTCCAAGCACAAAAGTTTAATTGTATACTAAAGTAATCATAGTGTATATATGCAGTATGAATTGAATGTCTTTACAATCTACTATATTGTCCTGAAATTTTAAGAAAACAACTTTAAAATACATTGCCTCAGTAATGCAATTTCAAGTAAATGAAATTGTCTTGGGTTCATTCAGCACAACTTCTAGTCACAAAAGCTTCAAGGACATTTATGAGTGAATCAGGTCTTATCCTGAAAGACTGTTGTGTTCAAGTTTGAAGACAATCCATTCAAAAATAAGTTATAGCCACTAAGAGCAAAAGAATCAAGAAAAAAATAGACATTTTACCTTGAACGTTAATATAAAGGTCAAGTTTAGTTTGGTCTACTGGCATGGTCTTGTCGCCAATGTCGCCAATGAAGACAATACACCAAGGTCTGAAAAACTTATGAACAAGTAAAAGTTTGTTGACAGCAACGCGAAAGCCGTCATGATTGTAACTATATATTTTGGTCTAAATGCAAACCAAATGTTCTAGTCTATACATACTGTTGAGGCTGCCCATTTCTTTCAATAATAAATAGATGCAATGATAAAGCCAGTAACTTGTGAATCTTCTAACATTTTTACAAAGAATGAACATAAACATATATATATATTTTAAATTCTATGATGATGTTCAGCCATTTATATTAACAAGATATCGGAAAGATCTATCAGAAATAAATTGACCCGTGGACTTTAATGTCAATTAAAGAGCTCTTAATATGCAAATTTAATGGTAAGCAAACATCCAGCATGAAATTGTCAAGTAGTTAAAATTTAAACAAAATTATTAAAAAAAATAAGTTTTATAATTCAACCACTGCTGGAAGTTGACCCGCATGTTTAATTACAAAATGTATTACATCTATATTGTCCATAGAAATTATAAATTATTTTCAGTCTATTTCTCTTTGCGCTTTCACACAGACTTAAATTAGTCAAGTCCATGATTTTCAGAAGGACAAAATATCTTCTTATCATCAAACACTAAAAATTAATATACCAGCTATAAATTGTATATGATATTCAATATAATATCCTTTTAGAAACAAGTTTGCATATTATTGTTTTAGGAAACTCACTTTTAAAATGCTCTACGACTAGCCTCAATAGTGAGTATATGCTAGTCGTGTGTGACTCGCGTACAGCCAGCACTTTTGTCAAACAATACTATTAATAGTAATACTAATTATTCCTTCCTTTACCTATTCCAGACTGCCATCAACAAAACTTTTGAATACTATTAATATAATAGTATTACAAAATCAAGTTGTTTTTATTGCTTGTTTATCAACATAGTTAATGAGATAAGTTTCATCAGTGTATGATGACATTTAAACTTTGTTAAGAGTGAAAATTGATAGACATCAAATTGTTCTAAATATTACAATACTGTTAAATATTTAATGATATACTCAATAATCTTATTATTATTGACCTGTGCTTTTTGTATTTTAATTCAACTACTATTTTCATATAAATGTCAATGAATTTACAAGTAAAAAATCTAAAAAAATATCGAGTGACCATAAATATCATAATCCTACATCTGATTAAGGCAAAACTGTGGAATTCAGATCTACATGTATGAAATAAGTATATCTGAACTTCAGTCATATTGTATAACATTTATTATTATTACCAGTCCTTTTAATTTTTGGGATGAGTTAGACAAGGGCCGAATTAAATCGAATTTCTTTCACACGATTTTATGCATTAATTATCACTAAAGGGAAAAACAAAGGGATGAAGTAATTGTTACACCAGATTGCAATTAGTTTTCGAGGTATAGTGAAATATAAACAATGAATATCATACAGTCGTATTCAACAATGAACAAAATTTCGCAATGTTTACCTGCTTTCATTGCCAACGTGGTGATTACGGCAGGGATTTGTTGGGTTTATCTAAAAGCCGTTATTGGGTCATATTCCCAATTGAGAATAGTATATTATTTTCACAATTCACAGGTTATGGGTCATGTTCCCAAAATCCTGGAAAAGTTCCTGTATACAGGAAAATTACGTACATGAGAAAATAGTATGTATTCATTTCGCAATGTTTACCTGCTTTCATTGTCAACGTGGTGATTACGGCAGGGATTTGTTGGGCTTATCTAATAATATTTCATATGCATACAAAGTTCTTACAGTATATTTGCACTTTTGAAGCGTTTAAAATCTTATCTGATTTGAAAAAAAACATATTGTAATATATTGTTTGTTGTAGCGTTCTATGATATGATATGTTCAGATATGACTTAATAATGTTGGTTCTATATTTATGCACATTCTTTGACTCTCATAGGATAGGATTTAACTCTAACTGGGGCAGTACCTCCAGTCGCTTGCCAAATTCATGATCACAAAATAGAAAAATATCATTTTTGCCAATTATTCCTTTTTCCTGTATACCATGGCAAGTTTTTGACCTATTTTGTCCAGCTAAGATACCTAAAAGAGATGTGTTCAAAAGGTAGTTAAGCACCCCCCCCTCCCCCCAAAAAAAAAAAAAAAATGTTATAATAATGTTAGAAAAATATTTTTCCACGTTTCTGAATCAATCCAGATATTAATTATGTGGTTTCAACAATAAAGAGTGATAAAACAAACCAATATATTACTAGTAATATATTGAAAAGTGGACCGAGTTGGAAAAGGACCGAGCTGACTCGGAGGCAGAGTACGTTTTAGGTCCGAGCTGACCCTAAATCGATATAATGCACTAAATTTTGCAGTCTATCAATCGAAATATATCAATAGCTTTACCAGATTGTGAAGAAAACTTGATTCTACATAAGAAAATGATTGCAACTATTATATCAACGTAATACAACGTAATAAAATATAATTTATAAACATTCTTGACCAGCTGTAAACAGCAAAAATAGGTCGTTTTCCTAAAGATTTTGCTACTGATAAATGCAAGAAAAAGCAACGAAGTTACTTTACAGTTACGTATAATGAAGATTAAGTGTTCGTTTAACAAGAGCCACCGCCGGGCGGGGGCAACGCTCGACTTTTTACTTTCTCTAAACGCAAACATAGAAAGGTTTGAACATATATTGACGTTTCCTTTTTATAAATTAAGTTGGTCTGTCTTGTCACATTAGTTTTGTTTATATATTTTGTATATATATATATGAATAGAAACATTAAGCATATTTCTAAAAATAGCAACAGTACGCAATTTCTTAAAATAGCAACATGACGCAATTTCTAAAAATAGAAAAAATGTCGCAATTTCTAAAAATAAAAAAAAATGACATAATTTCTAAAAATAAAAAAATGACGCAATTTCTAAAAATAGCAACAATGATGCAATTTCTAAAAATAGAAAAATTGATGCAATTTCTAAAAATAACAACAATGACGCAATTGCTAAAAATAGCAACAATGACGCAATTTCTAAAAAATAGAAAAAAATGACGCAATTTCTAAAAACAAAAAAAATGACGCAATTTCTAAAAATAGAAAAAAATGACGCAATTTCTAAAAAAAGCAACAATGACGCAATTTCTTGAAATAGAAACAATGACGCAATGACGCAATTTCTTAAAATAGAAAAAAATGACGCAATTTCTAAAAAGAGAATAAAAATGACGCAATTTATAAAAATAGAAAAAAAATGACACAATTTCTAAAAATAGAAAAAAATGACGCAATTTCTAAAAATAGAAAAAAATGATGCAATTTTTAAAAATAGAAACAATGACGCAATTTCTAAAAATAGCAACAATGACGCAATTTCTAAAAATAGAAAAACATGACGCAATTTCTAAAAATAGAAACAATGACGCAATTTCTAAAAATAGCAACAATGACGCAATTTCTAAAAATAGAAAAACATGACGCAATTTCTAAAAATAGAAAAAATGACGCAATTTCTTAAAATAGAACAAAAATGACATAATTTCTAAAAAATAGCAACAATGACGCAATTAAATGACGCAATTTCTAAAAATAGCAAAAAAATGACGCAATTTCTAAAAATAGATACAATGACGCAATTTATATATATATATATATTTATGTGTGTGTGTATATATATACATGCATATATATATGCATGTATATATATATATATATATATATATATATATATATATATATATATATATATTTTATGCTTTAAGTAGACCGAGAGTACTCAAAAAGAACTGCATTACGGAGACTGTTGGATTACGGGGACAAATTTTGGTCCCTCTAATAATTCAGGTTAAGCTGGCTTGTGAAGTGGGGATGCCATTAGCTATTTCTGTTTAGCATTCACATAAGTGGATGTGATTTAGAAGATAGGTTATTGTTGTTTTGAAAGTAGGTGTCAAATCACGAGAAAAATAACGTTTTTCGTTCAGAGCAGTGTATATTTTGAAACATGTAATAGGGAGACCGCAGTTTATATTAAATAACTTTAAAAATTGACTATATATAGAAAATGTTTTTATAGTATTATTTAATTTGATATTATTCCTATCGTATGTCCAAAAATCAAATCAATATGGAAAAAAAATAAAAATATGATTTTTTCGTGTTCCATGTTTTCAATTTATTTTACGTGAACCGGAATGTAGGTTTTAGTGGACGGCATTTAGTGCGTACTGTCATGGCGGCGTGTTTAACCTACGGGAAGAGAATGGTAAGTTTATTAGACTCAAAAAGATTTCTTTAGATGTATTTTGTGAAATAAATAAGTTTTTTTGTAACGTTGAAAATATTAGAATAGGTATGGCTTGGGACAAAGTAGTATAATCGCAGATTCAAAATGGCAGCTTTACAAAATCTGAATGAGGTTTCAGAACATGAGGTGCGCGGGAAGAATTCAAATAACGAAATGAATTTGTAGAGTTTTAATCTAATTATTTGTGATACTGTTTTTCTGTTTCTACATTCCATAGGCTTACTGCATGTGATTATAAAACTATTTATGCACACGACTTTGGGTAGATATGACAAGTAGAGTTTACAGTTCTCGGGGTAATGATACCTCATTCATAGTTTTATCACCATTATAAAATATTGGTACCAGTTTTTTCCATGATGCATATTAAATTTTAGTATTTTCTTTTATCACTGGAAAGAACACTTTTCAATCTCTTTAAAGACATTTCACTAGATTTCATGAAAGACCTAGAAAAAGCATAGGGGTCACTCGCGTGGTCAGGGGCGAATCCGGGTCAGCTCGGCCCTAATACGTACTCGGCCCCCGAGTCAGCTCGGCCCTATTCCAACTCGGCACGGGTCAACTCGGCCCACTTTTTAATTATTAATATTAAGGTTTGTGTTATCACTATTTATTGTTATTATGAAATTATTTATAAAACACGGATTGACAGTTTCAGAGGCTTTTCTTATCAGTAGAATTGCGAGTAAAGATTACCGATTGTGTATCTCAGTGTATGTCTGACTCGTGGTAGGTTTTACCGTAAATTTAAATACATTCAGTGTCAAACAATGTGTTGAAGTATATACTGAGAGAAAGCTAAGATCACCAGCTTTAAATTGGTGTAACAAATTTTAAAATCGGACATTTAATCGCCCCAAACTAGCGATTTAAACACAGCTAAATTTGCATTCTTTTGCGAGCGAAGGGAAACTAAGGATAACAACTTTTGCTTTTTCACTCGATATACCTCGGTTATTTACGCAGTTCAACAGAGAAAGTTTATAAATATAAGACAAATAAATAAAAAAAAATTTCTAAATATACTTTATTTCGGCAGAAGTACAATGTATACTGGTTGGGGACCACCAAAACCGGACAACCACCAAAACCGGACTGCCCCGAAAATGCTTAATTTAGTATTTTCTTTGTTCAGTGGTTGTCAATCACTTTTTTATCAACAATAAGTGCATGTTTCTTTAAAAATTAAGTAACTAAATTTATTTCAACCTCCGTAAATGGTAATATTTTAATGTCTATTTCAAGAATGTTGACTTTAAGATTTGGGGAGTCAAGAAAGCAATGCCTGACCTCATATACCAGCTATAACAATTTGCAGAGTAAACAGTAGAATATCCAAAACTTCAGCATTTGTTGCTGAAATATTGTATATCATGTTAAAAATCAAAAATCAAAACACCCAAGCTTTTATCTGAATTAAATCATGTCATGTACATATCTGTCCGGGCACATGGTACTGTAGTGTAGACAATTTGGGTAATTTTGATACCCTCCTTGTATAGCCTCAGATATAAGTGTTTATACAGTCAGAAATAAACAAACTAGTTTGTTAGTTAGGAGGAGAACCTAGCTGAACTGTGTCAAATTTGCTGGTCTCTAGGTTAAAAATTATGAAATCTGTACGGAAAAATGTTCAAAAAGTGTCCGGTTGATGGTCCCCGACCAGTAATTATATAATAATAAGATATTTCTTATTATTCATTTACCGTAACAACATGCAAAGCAAAGTTAATACGTTATTATATATTTTGTAAAGGGGGCCGAGTTGACCCGTGCCGAGTTGACCCGTGCCGAGTTGGTATAGGGCCGAGTTGACTCTTTTCCGTCAGGGGCTGTATATACTCTTATATTAAGGGAAACAACTATCTTAAAGACGGTATCAGTACAACATGTACAAAACCTCTTGTAAAAATTTTATTACTTGAGATTTTACCATAAGAATTACATAATTACAAAGCTTAAATATTTTGCTACCCGATACAAAAATTTCCTTGTGAAGAAAAAATGCCTAAAAGTTCTTGTAAACTAAAATTTACAAAAAAAACACTCAATATCCAGTTCATTGACAAGGGTTCATACACCCGGTTTTTT